ATTTCAAATAGGAAACAGCCAACTAAGTACACCTTTTTCTTGAGCCAAATGTAACGCGTGAAGTAGACATGACTATGTACAAGCGGTGAAAAATAATGTGAATAGTGCTCAGCCGCCAGCTTGGCCCGGTCCAGCGCCGCAAAGGTCACGATGATCTGATCGGGTGCACCGTGAGCTGTGCCACAGGGCTTTTCAACCAGGATCTGTTCGCAGAAAAGCAGAAAGAACATCCATCATCGGGAAGATCATCGACCCGGAGAGGAGATTCCGGGGCCAGGCCCCGAATGTCATTGCGGATGGCGCAGCGTCCAAGATCCGGGCAAAGCCCGTTTGCCGGCGCCGCTGCAGAATGCGGACCCTTGCTGACAAACAGGTGGTTTTCCACTTCCATGGAAGAAAACATCAAATGACACTTCCAAGGAGTGTGTCCTTGGAGAACAACAGTGTGATTCCAAGGAGTGTCAAACAACATCACAAAAACCTCACACCGTCTGAGACCTATTCTAGGGTGGACGGTCGGAACATGTCGGAACTACAGAAGCCAAGTCACAAGAGTCCTAGAGGGTCGTAGAACTCGGACAAATGGGTCTTAAAGGTCTTAAGCCGATGTTTACAACTTACCAAACATTAGCTTCTGAGTGCTTTCCAGAAACAACTGACTGGTGTTCAGGATATAGGCTATAAGAGAATGGATGCATCTCTATTGACAGCTCACTGCCTCATTCTTACTCATTCCCTACTAAGCGCCAGTCATGACAACTCATTCCATCATTCCCACACCAGTCTGATCTGCCCATCTTTGACACCCCACCAGAAGACGCCGTCAGAAGACGCCGTCACTCCTCATCCGTCTGTTTTGGCGGACTGGGGACCCCCGACCGCAGGGATAAGCGTGAAAGACCCGGATGTCGGCTGGAGGTCCTGGAGCTGGGCAAACAGATATTTATTGGGTCTATCCCAATAGCAGGGCGCAGGTGGATGATGGTGGATGATGATGACGGTGCGATGATTTAACAACAATTTTGACAAATAAACATCACCTGCAAACTGATTACCATCAGGAATTTGTGTATTTGATTACCATCAAATATGAACAACATCAGGAAGATGATTATACCATCTCCCAATTGCTGGTCGACCTGGGCCCAAAACAAGGCAGACCGTCAGAGGCAGTCGATGTCCTGCACTGTCCTGCACGGACCCTACACCAAAGCGGATCAAAGCTATGAACCTCACCCTGAGCCCTCGCGGCTGGACTCCTGGACCCTTCACCAATTGCGGACTCCTGGACCCCCCGAAGCAACCTACATGGTGGGGTCCCAAACCCCGAGGTTCAACACCACAAACTCAGGGTCGTTCGTGTGTGTGTGTGTCTGAACCTTTGAGGTGAATGAAACCCCTTATGGTTCACCATCCCCTGTCTTCATCTCTTCCTCCCGTTTGGAACATGGTTCCCAACCTCGCCGACCTCGACCTGCTTTCGCAGCGAACTCTGCGGCTACACGTAGCAAGGTCCCACGAGTGGGGGCTTGTCGGAGAACATCCATCCGGTAGACCCGGAAGTGGGTCAAGGACAACGGAACCAACACGTGGACGAGAGAGACTCTATCGTTTTGGAGTCAGAAATACTGGATGGTTGGCTCATACCATCCTCCAAGCTCGATTGGAAAACGGATTCCGGGATGAGAAGTACCCTAAGAATCCTTGGGCCTGACCTCTTGGCAGGGTTTGGAAGCTTCTCCACCTCTTCCCCAGGGCTCCAGACCCGAACCAAACCCAGTCACCTTCGGGCCCGGAAAATTCTTGGGAGGAAAAGACATTGGAAAAAACCAATCCAAAGTCACCCAACCTAATCTGCTCCAACACTCCACGACTCACCCAAACTCACCCAGGCTGCTCCAAGCTCCCAGCAACTCCACGCCTTCAGACCCCACCCCCCTCCCGCTCGCGCAGGTGGTGCGCTGTGCGCGGTGCCTGCTCCAAAGGCTGGGAGAGCCTTGTGGTCCCTCGGGCGACCTGCGTCCGTCCAAGTCGGATGGCAAGTCCAAAGCTAGACCCAACCAGGGTTTCGTGTTTGATCTACCGCTTTGGGTCTTTGGAGCCACTAAGTGACCAACGACCTCTACTTTTGTGGCAACTGGGATCCACTGGGAGAAGGACCGGAACCTGGCAAAGATCGAAGTGTAAAACGAACTATAGGAGAGCCGGCAATAAGTGGTGGTCTTTTTAGGTTCATAAAACCATCACCTTTCATCCGAGGTATGGAGGAAAGATCAAAACACACGACACTCGGATTCTTCGGAGGCCATCCATCTGAGATGCCTCAAACTAGAACGTCTTTTCGACGCGCTGATCTGCATCGAACATCTGGTGGATTCGATTCTGTGGAACGCACCATGACATCAGTGGGTCGGAAGGTATGGGCTTTAAGATGTAGTCTTTTTTTGGGGGGTCTATCATGGTCTATCGGTCTATCCTATTACCCGGGCCCAGTGGATGATGATGGTTAGTAGAGGCCTTGTTCCAAAATGGTGTTGATTGTTTATAGGACAAACCCAACTCTTATACATCATGACAAATCTCTTCGTCTCTTGTTGGCATTGCAGGACACATCTGAGGACAGTGCGGGCCCCGCAGCAGCAAAGGATCAGTGGAGCAGTGCAAAGCTTCTTTGTAAAACTGGTGCACATGACACGTTCTAGGCTGGTAGAGAACCGTTTTGATGCACTGTAAGCAAATGTAAACATGGGTCTTACTCGCATTGAACGGATCTCTCCGCTCCTGTACACCCTATTTGGCTTCGACCATGTTCAACCAAACCGGTCGGGTAATCTACAACGCGCAGGACACAGCAGCTGGTCTTCCCTGTGCTTTCAAACTGGGCACCCGACAGGGCCACGGGAAGGAGCAAGGAGTGCCTTCAACGTCGAGGCGTGTGTTACAATGGAGAGAACCCTCAAACAAACAAAACATGGGTGCTATAGCCTTATATAACCTATTTTGTCCTTTACCCTTTATCTGGTGGAAGGTTCCCGCATTTATCTCCAGTTGAAGCCACCACCCTTGTCATAAGGCAGTTGCTAGCTAAAACATATTATTTCTTGTTCACGGTATGATTTGCTGTTGCGTGTTAGTGCGAATCTGTTGCTAAGGCATTAAAGGTGGCAGTGAAATGTGACACAAGTCTTTCCACAAAATGAGATCATCTAAAAACCCATCTATACCCACTTTTGACGTTATCTGTGTTCTTCTTCCTTGTCCTTATCGTTTAAAAGATGTTTTGGTTAACTGCAACATGCGTGGTACACGGTGTACACAGCATGCATGTGGTGCATGGAACCCGGCAGTGCGTTACAATTCCTTCCATGCTAGAGGCCATAGCTAGAGGCAACTCACCCAACATCCTTCTCTCCCCTCTTACCGCCTCTTAGCTTTGTGGGCCTGTCTACGGGAAAGTGTTGTAGGCTCGCTGTTGTAGGCTCGTTTTTGTTTATATACTTGTTGTGTCATCGTTCTCGTGCCTGGTGGAAACACCATGTTCACGGCAAACAGTGTTTGGTCCGTACTCATCAGGCTGAACCCTTGTGCAAACATCCATCCTGTCCATCCAACCAAGAGTTATCCGGGGTGACCTATCGTTGCTTCCTTATCGTTTTACAGTGGACTGAACCTGCGAAAGGAGCAAAACGGGCATGCGAAGAGTACTTTCAATTCTTAGTCTTTCTTACATGGAAGGTTTTATACTTTCTCAAATGACGATGTTGCGTGCGGGAAACTGAGTCACTAATCTTCAGTATGCAACACAGCAAGAACAAAACACATCACAAACAATGACTCCCCAAACAAATCGTGTAGACTTGCACGCAAACAACATGGAACCACCTTTGTCAATGAAGTCTCTTACTATACATAAACATCTACACCATGACTCAAATATATTGTTCCTTCGGAATTGCCAGGACACCCTGGAAAATGAACATGGAACCTCCTTTGGAAGACTAGCTTCCTCCGCAAAGGATGGTTTTCCATGTTGCTCTGATAATCTTCCTGGGTTTAGGGCATAGTTTTTGGATGTTTTTGGAAAAAAATTGGGGTCTAGATAGGTCTAGAGTATCCTAGACTCCAGGTATCACTCCCTTCCAACACTCCAAATCCTTGGACCTTCTCCCTCCTCGCCACGGGGGCACAAGTCCGAAGGAAGAACCCTTCCCATTGGGTTCCGATCCAGATTCTGAGGCGAACAAAAACCGTCAGACGTGTCCAACCCCCAATCACCCCCACCGGAACGAGCGACCCATTCACACCACGACGACTTCACGTCTACGTACGTCAACAGCAGACTTCTCGGCCGGACTCGGCCGAGTCCGCCTGGAATTCGTTCGACTCTCTTGGAAGCCAGGCTCCAAAGACCTGCAACGACTTCACGTCCGCCCCCCTTGGGTCAAGGTGCCAGGTCGAAGTCTTCGGGTCGGCTATCGGTACTGACCGATCCATGGAACTCAACGGGGGTTCGGTGGGTCAACGAGATCCAAACGAAGCCGGAACAATGTCTTGAGCTGCAGAGAGTTTCTTTTCCCTAAGGGTCTAGGACCATCGTACGTACTCAGTATTTACTCACCGCTACGCCATCCGAAAAGGAGGTATACCTGGACCGGACATGTTTCGTGGGCTTCATCTGGAAAACAAATTGAGTTCTGGATGATGATGATGATGATGATGATGATGATGATGATGATGATGATGA